TTGCTGTTTGTTTCAATTTTCATTTGTATGAGTATGCATGCTTGTGTTTTCAAATCCTGGTAGTTTTATATAAATATAATTATATATATATATATTATTTTCTGTCGGAAATTGCCATTGCACTTAAATGTGGACCTACCAAGGCCCAATTTGACAGCACCGTAAGCTGAATATCTTTTTGGAGATAGCTGACACTTTTGATGTGAATTCTATAGCATTCAACAATATAATCTATTGTTATGGTCTGTTGCAACCTTTATCTCTGAGCTTGTCTTTTCAACAATCTTCTTCGGGTTGAAATTCATCCTTCAGCAGCAGAGAGGAGTTCGTAAGCATGTGATCAGTCACAAGGCGTGTTTTAAAACCAAAGACGAATCTGTAAGTTATAAATTCATGAATTGTGGAAGAAAATATAGATTAGTAAAAAATTGGTAGAGTCTATTTTCGGTTGCTATTCTCATCATAAATGGTTGTTCAATTACTGACTGTTTTTCTAGAATTATTTTAGATATAACAATAACCTGTAATCTGCTTCTGTCCTCTCATTATCACATCATTTCGATTAGCTTGTCTCTCTAGTATTTGCAATGCATAACTATCTTAAATAACCTCTCATTTTTTTCAATTTCAGGACATCAATCATTTATTTACAAGTAAGAAAGCAAGAAATCTGAAAATATAACCAAACATGTATGATTAATATTGTTTTTACACAAAGGGAAGGTACATAGATCGACCACACTCTCATAATCAAAAGCATGAAATCTGATAATCCAACCAAATAAAACAGAGAAATTGGGAGTTCCAACAAACATAACCAAAGAACAAGCTGAAGAATTTCAACTTGGAGGGAAAACTGCTCACTTACGTTCCAAAAACATCAATCAACCTGCTCTCCACTATAGCCAAGGCTTCATTTTTCTGTTAAAAATTCGTGGAGCATATGTCGAGACAAAAATTTCAACGAGGAGGGGAAACTGCAACCATACAAAAAGTGTAACTGGAATGCTAGCCATCATAATTATGGGAATGATTGCCCACCATTGATCTTGAAGTGTAATCAAAAGAGCAGCTGAAAAGCTAACCATCATTGCTGCAATAGAAATAAAAAGAGTGGAGAGGCCAATGATCAACTTCCTGGGTAAGGACTCAAGAAAATCTTCTTGGGCGGAGCGCGATGTGAGGATTCCCAAAAACATTAGAACTGAAGTTGATGCAGCGAAGAAGGAAACTGCATCAGATATTATAAATATCATAAACGATCTTTTTCGTAAAAACATGGGAAACCCGGTATTCTGATCGTTGCCTCCTGGAAGAGTAAAAGCTGCAGCAAACAAGATCGTAACGATGAGAGCACCGACAAAAGTAAAAGATTCTGATGTTTTCTTCATCCATTCGGCCCCCTCTTTCACTAATTCCTTGTGGCTCTCTGTAAATACTTCATAAGGAGTTTTACCTTCTTGATTTTTACATTCTTTGCACCATTCTGGAACAACTCTTTCCACCTCCTGCATTCAATACACAAAAGTACATATTAATGTTTTAAAACAACAAATTAGATTCATTTTTCAAACAAATAAATAAGTTACACTGATTATATATAAAATCACACTTCATGTATAAAAAAAAGTGAAAGTAATTAATAATAATAACAATTTTAAAATGCAATCGTTGAGTGAGTAAGTGAGATGATAACCACAACCTTAAACCATTGTAATTCTCTTTGCATCTGGAACGCTGAATTAGAGATTCGAGCATGTTGAAAGTTAGGATCTTTCTCCCCTGCCACATGTAACAGACTGTTCCCTTTTTTATCTTTCCAATTAATAATTCGGCCTTTCCAGGCCTCATGAGTGCCATATAGGAGGTTGAAAATGCTTTCTTGACGGTGTTGGATTGCAATCATGAAAACGTCTCTTCTATCCTCTCTTCTCCGGTAAATGATTGGTTGGGTGACTCTCAATAGCTCAATGACGAATTCAACTATGCCGAGCTTGGCGGCTTCAAACATCGCGTCATTCACTGAGCAATTTTTGACAGCTTCGACTTTAAAAGTTGAAACATGGTTACCCATACAGCGAAGGATCTCAAGGGCATAGAGATGGGTCAACTTCAAATCATAAATTTGTTTGATTCCTAAGTAAATCAAGAATCAATAAATATTATACTATAAAAAGCATAAGAATAGAATAATAGAAGTAGAAATGCTAAAATACATAAAAGATAGGTTTGGTAGTTGAGGGTGAGTTACCCAAAAAATTGAGAAGCATTAACCCCAATCTACGAAGTCGACCAAATACTGCATGAATAAACCTTTGTTATATACATGCTGACTTAAAACAATAATTGTAAGTCCATTACCATGCATGTATGTTACATGAATTTAAAATTAAATACAAATAACTTAATCCAAAATGCGCATATATATCCTAGCTAAGTTCAATATTCTTGTAATCTCAAACAAGGAAATGATACTTGAGAATATAATTATATTTCGAAACGATTTTTTT